TTGTTAAAAGCCAATTACCTTACTGTATGATGGTCAGTATTGCAACACTACTTAAATAGTCTCTTCGAATCGAAAACGTATTTCGGAATTTCAGTAGACATTTCATAAACTAGCACATCCAATGCGTTTTCGACACAGCAGTATTGTCGTATTTACACCCTCACGCTCTTGTTCTATGTGCTTTAGACTCCAGGTAGCGGAGACAGTGGCGGTGGACTGTACTGTCCCTCCCCGGCTGGCGGTGTCTGGTTTTATTATGGAGGGATAGAGTCCTCACCAGTCAACCCATTCGAGGACTGTTCGATTATCACCAAACTTCAGTCGGTTCATTATTGGCTCCAGCTGATTTCGGTGACTCTGGGCCTTTAATATGCCACCAGTTGAGGTCTTGGAATTTATAAATAAAAAAATTAAATGCGCACTCCTTTTGTTCGTATTTTGTTGTCATCACTTAAACAAACAAAACCCGCTATAGTTTTAGTTTGACGATGATCACAATTCACATCACAGCAGCTATGGGATTCAGTTGGCGAAATTAAAAAGTCATACTTGAATGAAGTGAAGATCATTAAAAGAAGTATATTAAATAGCAGACATGGATGCTCGGACCGGAGGTATTTCGAAACGGGCGGTTATGCTGGCGTTATTCTATAAAGGCATCATTCAGGACTTAATTCGGCGCGAATGGCTCCAGAGCCTTCGCTGAAACTGCTGCGTTCTTTGAAAGCGATTCCTTAGCAGACAGATGGTCACCTTAGTATTGTCGTGCGGCCACTGAGGAAAGGGTGTCTTGGTGTAGATATGCAGTCGCCGCATATCGACAGATATAAGAACGTTCTTCTTCTGCCGTATTGACAAAACCTAGTACAGATTCTCGATTTCTGATGAAGTAATACAATCCGTGGAGGAAAATTTGAGGGGTAGGTGGACATGGGATGGTGATAATTGCATGCGAAACCTAAAAAAGGAAAGCGGAAATGCGCAGACTGACGTAGAGGGCTATGTGCTGTAATGCACAAAAGTTAATCCAGTAAGAACAGTTCATCAATACGGTGTTCAACGTTATTTTAGCTTAACAAGTATTTCACTCACGCCTGATACAACTGAGTTGGGAGCTGAAACACATAAAACGAGGCAATCATCGACCATCAGCACATTGCTGGAGGTGACTGCGCAGACCTCTGTACGGCGGCGCCAGATCGATAAATCGATTGATTGAGTTCTCATACAAGCCTCAGGCCTCAATCATTTCTCGACTTGTATTGTTTCCCTGGTGGGTGTCTATTTTGGCGGTTACAACGTTGACTCTTGAGCCGTTTCTTATGCGTGGGCGGCCAAATGTGATATTTCCTCACCTCGCCGCAGAGCCAGCTTATGCTCGTATATGCGCGATCCAAACTTGCGCCCAATCTGGCCTGTGTAGTTACAGGGACAGTGTTGTCACGAGATGCGGTCCACTACTTCTGATTGCTCCTCAGACTTTAGGTGGTCTTTTTTATGACCTTACTGCGTACGGTGTCTTCGGGCGGTGAGCAATTCCAAAACCTAGCTCTGCAGTAATGCGCTCGTTTGATAACGAAACGTCATTTATGTATGTCAGAGAGTGCCATATCATCGGTGATGTTAATGTTCGCGTCCTCTGGGGACAACCGCCTAGGCGGTGACTTATGAATGCCTTCGGACAAAATGATCGCGGAGATAACGAGCCTCATGTGCTTGTCCCTTCGGATTGCTACAATGACCTTGGCTTCGTTTGAAGGGCGTCTTCATACAGCTACGTTTGTGAGTCACAGGATGTTTGCTGTAAAACTGATAAGCTATGTGAAGCTCGTTGCCTTCCTGTAAGTCGTCGTTTTAAGTTCACCGTTACTGTTCCGTCTGCCGAGTACATCAAGGAAGGGCGACTGCTGTTTTTGCTAATCTTCCATCGTGAAATTTATATCAGGGAAGATTGCGCTGAGCAGGTTGTGAAAATACTCTAGTATATTCTCCCTTACGAGCACAAACGGGTCGACTAAGTGACGGCACCAAAATACTGGCTCATGTTGAATGAGGGCAATCTTTTCTAACTCCTTTAAAACGAGATCTGCCACTAAACCGCAGATCGGGGAGCCCATTTGGGTGCCCTTGATTGTTCATAGGTCTCCTCTGCAAAAGTGAACGAATTTTATTGGTAGAATTTAAACAGCCTCATGAGGTGTTCAATTTTGGGTGCATTCTGATTATCGTTGTAAACATCCTCAAGCCTCTTGCAAGCCAAGTTTACTTGGGTGGATGTGAATAACAACTTCACATTGAAGGAAACCAGGATTTCGTCTGATCGATTCCTCCGGACTCTATGAGCAATTGAGAGGCTCATCCAACTGAGGTAATCGAATTGCCTCTGCAGTATTCAATTTTTTAGTACATTCATTTTGCCAACTTATAGGTGGAACTGCCTTTTAGGGACACAATTGACCGCATTGTGTCATTTGCTTTATGTATTTTTGGCAGACAGACAAAATTCGTTATTGTGCCTAGTTGCAATAAGTAAAAACTATCTTATCCCTCGACGAAGCAACTGTTGAACATTATGACATTTACTGCGTGTAAACTTTGACTTCAGTAGCCATACAGACTGAAATCGACCCACATTTCGCCATCTTTATGATGTCGCTAATTCCACTCTTTACCGTTCTTCTCCCGTTCGGTCACTTCTTTGACATGTTTTCCTAAGCGATCGATTTGATTCGTAGTCAATTCAAGCAATTTATCAAGATATCTCTTTTGCGACAACATGACATTTTGAACAGTGATGTCGGCTGTGCTCCACAACAGGTCCTGAGCAGGGACGGGGGCATGCGTGCGCTACACTTGCCGCGCTATCCCTTCCCCACTCCTTACATGGACCCGGTGTCAGTGCAGAGTCAAGAAGACCGGAAGCGTTGGCGTGTGCAGACCATTTGACCCATAAGAAAAGCACTTCCGGAAACAGACACACACAAACACACACACGACGACAGTTCGACCGTCGATTTCGACGATATCCACAGTGTGCCCCGCAGACTGCGTGCGGGAGCAGAGACGGTGACTTGCGCAGGGGTTTATAGTGCCAGTAGACTTGCGCTACATCTGCCTGCAGTCCCCTCTCCCTCACCTGAGTACGGTGTCAAGACCAAGTCAAGAAGGCCGGAGACGGGGGAGGCCGTAGGTGGATGGCTCGGACGTATCCTCACCTTGGCGTTCCACTACACCCCCTGGCGCACTCAACAAATGACAAGGATTTCAACCAACACAACAGAGATTTAGAGGCTGGCACGACCGAAGCCGCACCTGGGCGTGCCACCAACGCCTGGCGTGGATCCCACACTGTTGTGGGAGTGCCACAAAGGCCACATTGAGAAGGGGCCATTGCAGCCTGACTCTCAGACCACCACCAGTCCAGGAGGAGGTCCAAGTTATCCCGTCAGTTGGAAACCTCTTAAGCCACGGCTTTTAGCGCACCGTGATAGCTTCAAACGCGTCCGATTGTTTATAGTGAGGAGGAAGTGCGCTGAATCGTCGAACTCACTCTCCCTTCCCATTCCCACACCCCAGCCGCTGTCCGAGCCGGTCAGCAGACTGGAGTGGGGAATGGGCGCGGTGGCTGGCATGGTCGACTGACCATGTCTGCGTGCCCCACGTGCACGACCGGGCCTGCCATACTCATACACTCACCATGATTTAACACAACGGGGGTTGAACGGCGTGTCTCTCACTTGCGTGAGAGTGCCGTGGAAGTGCTGTTTCAGCCCGTTCCCAGCCCACCAGTCCGCCACTCCACACAACACACACGCACAACGCGACGAACTGCGTGAACCGAGAGCGGGCGTCAATCAGCAACCTTCCTATCCACGACGCTTGACGTGTCGGGATAGTCTCGGACTCAAGTCACCCTTGCAGCCGAAGCCGCATGGGGACCGAGTCGAGATGCGGACTTCCCACTTGCGTGGGAGGTGGCAGTTGGGTGCATGAGGTGTGTGAGTGTTGATTTCTGGTGGGGTGATGGTGGTGGTGGAGGAGGAGGTAGGGAGTGAGTGAATGTGTGGTGTGGCCGGCGGTTGTCTACCGCAGGTCGTCGTGGATGCGCATGTGGCCGAATAGGCTCATGCGATGCCTGAAAGTGCGAGGACAGTGTGGGCAGTGGAGGCGAGTGCGGTGGGTGTAGGTTGGTGCCGCGGGCACTGGTTCGCCAGTCTCTGTGAGATGGATTTGCAGTTGACCGACCAGTCTGATGTGTGAGGTGAAGGTGCGGTCGCAGTGAGGGCAGGTGCAGTCCTAATCCTCATCGCTGTTGGTGTCGGTTGTTGTGTGCGTGACAGTCGCCTGAGCGGCAGTCGTTGAGGCAGTTGAGGAGGAGGAGGAGGAGGAAGAGGAGGAAGACGGGAGTGGTGGTTTAAATGAATTGTCAGAGCTGATTGGCGGCGGAGATTACAAATAAGAGGCGGGCGGGGACGATGTTTGGTGCAGTTCGAGATGCGCAGTTGATGCGGAGATGTCCATCAAGTCCGATTCGAGCCCTGAATGTCCGTTGGCATCGAGGACACGTTGGAAGCGGTTGTGCGTCGGAGTGGCGTATTGGGCGCAGTTGTGATTTGCGGGCTTCGCGTTCCACTTTGGCTACAGCGATGCTGTTGACCTCGTAGATCGTAGCGCCTGTCTTAACTTTCCTCCTCCAGGTCGGTCGGTCGAGTGCGAGCTCTTCCCAGTTGGTCGGTTTGATTTGCAGACGCTTCAGGGAGGACTTCAGAGTGCCCTTGTATCAACGAATTCGGCCTCCTTGGCGGCCAGATCCCGTCGCGACTTCTCCGTAGAAGAGTCGTTTGGGTAGTTGCCCGTCGTCCGTGCGCACGAGGTGGCCGCTCCAGCACAGCTGCATTTGTCTCAGCATGGCGTAGATGCTGAGGATTCCCGTGCGTTCCAGCACATCAGAGTCGGGGATTCGATCCCGCCAGTTCAGCCTCAGGATGCGACAAAGACAATTAAGGTGGAAGTGGTTCAGTCGGCGTGCCTGCTTTGTGTACACTGTCCAAGTCTCCGCTCCGTACAGCAGCGTCGGCAGGGTGACGGTCTTGTACGTCTTTAGTTTCGTGCTCAGTTGAAGACTGTGACGATTCCAAACTGTGCTTTGGTGGCCACTGAAGGCTGGACTGACTTTCGAAATCATGGTGGCGGGAGAGGGTACTGCCTAGACACGGGAGGTTTTCCACCACCTGCAGTCGGGTTCCGTTCACACTGATTTGCGGCATGTTGGGGGGTGAAATGGCTGTGTTGGGTGGAGTTTCATGCATGACAACAGTCATCTGCGTGTTACTGACAAGACCGAAGTTCTCGCAGGCGGCAGAGAACAGGTCCATGCTGCGTTGCATGTCCTCTTCCGAGGTGGTGTTCAGTGTCCAGTCGTCGGCGAAGAGAAGTTCGTGAACGGCGGTTGTGGAGACACGCGATTGAAAGTGCAACCGCCGTTGATTCAGGGGGTGACCGCCGGTCCTGTAGGCGATGCGGATCCCGTGGCGTTCGTCGCAGTAGGCGTCCATCAGCATGGCAGAGAAGATGAGACTGAAGAGGGTAGATGCCAGCACGCATCCCTGCTTCACTCCGTTGGTCATTGTGAATGCCTCTGAGACAGCTCCGTTGTCCGTGACTCGCGTCATCATACCGTCGTGCAGCTGACGCACAATATGAGTGAATCGCTCCGGACAGCCGAATTTCTGTATGATCGTCCACAGTCCTTCACGATTCACCGTGCCGAAGGCTTTCGTCAGGTCCACGAAGGTAAAGCACAGGTGGGTCCCCATCTCCTGGCACTTCTCCTGAAGATGACGGGCGGCAAAGATCAGATCCCTGGTCCCGCGATGACGACGGAAACCGCATTGTCTTTCCAGCAGAAGGCTTTGATACAGGTGATTATTCAGACGATTGAGGACGATGCGAGCGAAGATCTTCCCGGCGATGTTCAGCAGGGAGATGCCACGGTGATTGTCGCAGACTTGATGATTCCCTTGCGCTTGTAGAGATGCACGATGGTTGCGTTCTTGAAACCCTCCGGGACTTCGCCTTGGCGCCACATCTCTTGGAAGAGCGCGGCCAGGTGATCCATCAGTTGGGGACCTCCGTGCTTGAAGACCTCAGCAAAGATTGCGTCCGATCCGGGTGCTTTCCCGCTGGATAGCTGCTGCACGGCCCTGATGTTTTCCTGGAGAGATGGCGGGAGGTCGAGGTCCACGTTGGTATCCACTTGCGGCAAACGGTCGATGGCGGCGTCGGAGATGGCGGCGGGGCGGTTGAGGACGCCTCGGAAATGCTCAGCTCAACGCTGTAGAATTTTTGTCTTCTCGGTCAGGAGGGTGCTGCCGTCGGCGCTGAGGAGAGGAGCGGTGCCTTAAGTCGGTGGTCCATAGACAGCTTTGATAGCGGAAAAGAACTTTTTCCATTTGTTGTGGTCCGCGTGCCCTTGGATCTCCTCAGCTTTGCAAGCATTCCAGACATTCTGCATCTCGCGCAGTCGTTGATAAAGTTGGCGTCGACTGCGGTAGAAAGCAGCTTTGTTGTCATCAGTTGGTCGGTCTAAGTAGGCTTTGTGTAGGCGGTTCTTCTCGGCGAACTGTTTTCTGAGGGCGGCGTCGTTGTCGTCGAACCAGTCCTGGTGTTGGCGGGAGGCGCGACCGAGGACGGCGAGCGCCGTCGACTGGACCATGTCTCGCCGTTGACACCAGCGGTTCTCCACGGAGGCGTTCTCGGCAGCAGCTTCAGCGGCAAAGATTGGAGGGTTGTCTAGCCGTTGAGTTAGCTCATTGCTGAAACGGAGATGGTGAGCTGGCAAAGATAACAAGGCAGTATTCAGCTTACCTGGGGGTCGCTTACCTTGTGGTCTCCTGTGAGGCTGTAGGAGAATACGCATCTTCAAAATGACGAGGCGATGTTCAGTTCACCCGTCAGCACCTGAAATCGCCTTCTTCACCAGCACGTCCCGCTAATCTCGCCTCCGAACGAGGACATAGTCCAGCAGGTGCCACGTGCGCGACCGGGGATGTCTCCAGGTGGCCTTCTTACGCTCCGGAAGACTGAAAAGGGTGGTTGTCTGAATGAGGCGGTGTTCTGCGCAGGTGCGGTGAAGCAGCAGTCCATTGTCGTTTGAGCCGCGGAGACCATGGGGGCCGAGCACTCCTCTCCAGGCAGCATAGTCTGTGCCGACGCCGGCGTTGAAGTCACCAAAGAACAATCAACTTGTCCGCCTTCGACACAGTCGCCGAGAGGACGTGCAGCTCCTTGTAGAATTTGTCGTTTGCGGCCTCGGGGCTGCTCATCGGCGGAGCATAGGCGCCGATGATGGTGGCGAATTTGTAGCCCAAGAGAGGGAGTCGGAGGTTCATCAGATGATCGTTGATTCCCTGTGGTAGGCTGGCCAGTCGTCCCACGATGTCGTTCAAGATGGCGAAGGTGACACCCGCGTCTCGTCGCTCTGGCCTGCGGCGACCGCTCCAGAAGAAGGTGTAGCCGGCACCCACCTTTTCCAGTTGGCCCTGTTCGTAGAATCGAGTTTCTCTGAGTTCGGCGATGTCTACTTTGTAGTGCGCCAGTTCCCGAGGCACTAGCGCTGTCCGTTCCGGTCGGGTGCTCCTTGGATTGTCTAGAAGGGAACGAACATTCCATTCTGCCAAAGTGAGCGGACTCACCCTGCCAGTCTGGTGACAACGAGTGGGACGACGGGAAGGAGGTGGAGAGGAAGATGACTAAGGAGAAGAATAGGCAGAAGAATAGACAGAGGAAGAGGAAGAAGAGGTAGGATGAGGAGAATGAGTATGGTTGTTGTTGTTGTTGTTGATGTTGTTGTTGTTGTTATTGCTATTGTTCTTGTTTCGGTTTTGCTTGTTTTGTCCATGTTGATGGTATCTGCGGCCCTGGCTAGCCTGCAGACGGTGTGGTGCCCGGCAATGTATAGAACACCTTTTCTAGGCCCTTCCGCTTGTGGGGACAGGCAGTGCCACCCCTGAATAGGGCTGCCAATGTGCCTATTTGGCGCGACCGAACCCAACTATGGGGCCACGACTTGTTGTTCGTAGTGGAGAACGACCGCATTTGCCGTATGTCCACGGTCTCGGTAGGCGCGTCTTAGCGAGGGTGTTGCAGAGACCCATCCCGGCAGCAGCTGTCCAACGGCGTACCAGACATAGCCTCGTCTCGACGATGCCGGCGCAGTGTTTCATCCTTCCAAACATCCAGAGGATTCCGCAGTACACTGTGCACGCGGCACAACGCGCACAGCGCCCTAACCTGGTTAAGCCCGCCACTTCAGGCATTTGCCCGGGGTGTGGCCGCTGAGCAGAGCCCAGCTACGTGGAGCTACAGGTGAGAGTTGGGTGCCTGCAAGTGGACGCTAGGCGTAGTCTCACCTGCAAGCGTCCATCACGCGAACCCACCGCAGGACACAAACACAGAAACACAGTTGCTATCACCAGTTTGCCGCTACTACAACTCGTAATGGGGTGTGTAAGTCAATCATCGACCCTCGGCACGTTACTGGAGGTGACTGCGCAGGACTCTGTATGCCAGATCGATAAATCGATTGACTGAGTTCTCATCCGGGGCACATGCTTCAATCAATTCTCGGCCTGTTTTGTTTTCGCGAGGGTGAATATTTTGGTAGCTACGAGGTCAAAATCATGACCCGTATCGTAGGCGTGGGTGGCCACTTGTGATAATGCGTCACCTCGTCGCATAGGCAACTTATGTTCGTGTGTGTGCAATCCGAGCACGCGTCCAGTCTGGCCTGTGTAGTAACAAGGACATTTTTGGCACTGTGTGCGATACACTGAGTTTAACCAGTCTTTTATTTTCATGAAGTTACTGCACATGGTGGCTTTTAGGGGGGTGTACAATTCCAAAACCTAGCTCCGCAGCTATGCGTTCGGTTACATCTGAAACGTCCTTGATGTATGGCAAAGAATGCCATATCGTTGGTGACGTTAATGTTCGGGTCCTCTGGGGGCGACCGCGTAGGCAGTGACTTAAAGAAGCCTTCGGATAGCAATTTTGCGCAAACTCGTCGCGGAGATAACGAGCCTTACGTGCTTTTTCTTCCGGTTTGTTGGAATGAGTTTGGATCCTTATGAAGAGCATCTTCGCACAGCTTCGTTTGTGAGTCACCAGATGATTGCTGTGAAAACTGAGAAGCTATGTGATTTTCGTTGCCTTCCTATAATTCATCGTTCCAAGTTCACTGTTAAGGTTTCTTTTTGACGATCACATCCAGGAAGGGCAATTGCTGTTCCTGCGCTTCTTCCATCGTGAAATTTATATCAGCGAAGACTGCGTTGAGAAGGTTGTGGAAATGTTGTAGTATGTCCTCCTTTACGACATCAAAAGTGTCATCCAAGAAATGGCGCCAAAAGACTGGTTCATGTTGAATGAAGTCAACCTTTTCTAGCTCTTTTAGGACGACTTCTGCCACTTAACTAGAGACCGGTGAGCCCATTGAAGTTTCCTTGATTTGCTCATAGGTTTCGCCAGTGCATTCAGAGTCAAGAAGACCGGAGACGTTGGAGGGTGCAGACTATTAGACCCATGGCAAAAGGAGGCTCATACATGATTTGCTATCCCCAGTTTGCCGCTACTGCAACTCGTTAAGACCGCGTGATCAGTTGAAATCCCTGACGTCGCGACCATCAATTTACAAACACGGAAAAGTGTAGCCAGAATGTGCAAACCTAATCAACTCAACGACACCTATAACTCAAGTTCATGGAAAAGAATACACAAGCACTTTTGATGTCCTCTGCGCTTCATTCCGCCAATGCTACCGTTGAGATTGCCGCTACTAAAGGTTATGTTAGTGTGACCGCCTTATGGCCATTTGTCATAATTCAGGCTTCATCTCCGACTCTGGTCACAGAGGACAATTATTTACGCCCGGAATCTCATGTTTTCGTTTATTTTGTTGAGGAAGAGAAGGCCCAAATTGTGTTGGTAAGTGATTCCTCAGGTAAGTGAACTTTGCGTTGTTTCATGCCTTACTTGCCTGCTAATGTCACATGCTGTGTGCTGCTCATACAGCCTGCCCTGTATCTGCTTGTGCGCCCTTCGCTCTGCTAATAACGCCGACGAAAATATCCGCCTCACTGAGAAGACACAAATACTACAGCTTTAGGTCGAGCACCTCCGAGGCGTCTTCGAACGCTCTCCATCATCTCGGACCCCGTCATCGCCCGTTTGCCGCAAGTTGAGACCAACGTTGACCCCGGCCTACCACCCACTGGCGTAGAAGCTCTCCAGCGGGAAAGCACCCGGATCGGACGCGATCCCTGCTGAGGTCTACAAGCACGGCTGCCCCCAACTCATGGATCACCTGACTACGCTCTTCCAGGAGATGTAGCATCAAGAAGAAGTCCTTCAGGATTTCAAACACACCACTATCGAGCATCTATACAAGCGGAAAGGGATCCTCCAGCCCTGCAACAATCGCCGAGTCATAACCTTGTTGAATATCGCCGGAAAATCTTTGCTCGCATCCTGATCAACCGCTCGAATAATCACCTGAAACAAGGACTGCTGCCAAAAAGTCAATACGGGTTTGCCGTCATCGTGGAACCATAGACATGATCATCGCCGCCCATCAACTTCAAGAGAAGTGCCAGGAGATGAGGACTCACCTGTACTCTACTTTCGTGGATATGGTTAAAGCCTTCGACACGGCGAATTATGAAGGACTGTGGAAGATCATGCAGAAATTCAGATGTCTCTGATGATACACTCAAATAACGCGTCAGCTCCAAGAAAGCATGTTGACGCGGGTCAAGGGCAAAGGAGCTGTCTCATAGTCATTCTCTGTGGCCAACGGAGTGAATCAGGACTGCGTCCTGACTCCCACCCTCTTTATTCTTATGTTCACTACCACACTAATGGACGCCCACCATGACGAATGCCTCGGGATCCGCATCGACTACAGAACGGACGACCACCTCTTCGATCAACGGCGGATGAACATCCAATCGCGCGTATCCATAACTAGTGCTCATGAACTCCTATTCGCCGACTACTGCGTCGTCAGCACTACCCCGGATGACGACATGCGAAGGAGCATGGACCTCCTCGCCTCCGCCTGAGAGAACTTGAATTTGATCATTAACACGAAGAAGACGGTGGTCATGCACGGACCGACACCCAACACAGCCCCTCCCTACAATGCGCCGCAAATCAGCGTGAACGAAACCCAACGCTTAGTGGTGGACAACTTCCCGTATCTAGGCAGTACCCTCTCCCGCAGCATGAAAGTCGACAACGAAGACGTCCGTCGCATTTTGAAGGCCAGTCGAGCCTTCGGCCGCCTTCAAAGTACAGATCGAAAACGTCACAGCCTCCAGCTCAGCACGAAGCCGTCATCCTCCCGCCGCGGCTGTACGGAGCGGAGACTTGGACGGTGGACATGAGGCAAGCACGCCGACTCAATCACTTCCACCTCAGCTGCCGTCGTCGCATCTTGAGGCTGACGTGACAGGATCGAATCCCCGACACTGATGTACTGGAACGAACGGGAATCCTCAGCAGCTACACCATGCTGGGATAATTGCAGCTGCGTTGGAGCGGCCGACTCGCGCGGATGGACGACGAGTGTCTACTCAAACGGCTCTTCTTTGGAGAAGACCCCATGGTGTCTCGCCGCCAATGTGATAAAATTCGTCCATATGAGGACGCTCTGAAGTCCTCCCTGAGGCGTCTGAAAAATGATTCGAACAACCGCAAGACCTCTCTCTGACCGACAGACTTGGAGGAGGACAGTGAAAACAGGCGCAGCGAACTATGAAACTAACCTCATTGTCACCGCCAAAGCCAACTCTCAAGCTTGCAAGTCCCTGTTGCTCCTACCCTGCAGTGTCAACACACAACCGCCTCCAACGTGTCCACGATGTCAACAGACATTCCGAGCGCTAATTAGACAACCTCCGGATCAACTGCGCCACTCGTATCGCACCAACCGTCGCCCCTCCGTCCACCACGTTTTCGTCCTCCACGCCGTCAACTAATTCGCACCGTCTTCTTGAACCACTACTTCCATCCTATTCCAGCACATACTCCTCCGTCCCCTGCTTCTACTCCTCCTCCTCGTCCTCCTCCTCCTCCTCCTCGTCCTCCTCCCCCTCCTACCCCTCCCCCTC